TAAGTATTGCAGAATTTTAAGGAACATTTTCTTTCTTATTTTTTTTATAATCAGGCCCGGTTTAAACACATACGTGTGGGATCATTACAAGCGTTCGGTACCGATGTCTACGTACTTGGTAGCCTTCGTAGTTTCTGATTTTGATGTACGGGAATCAGAAAATAGAAACTTTAGAGTTTGGGCGCGTCACAATGCCATTGATCAAGCACAATATAGCTTGAATATTGGACCGAAAGTACTCAGATACTTCGAGGACTATTTCAAAATCAAATTCCCTTTACCGAAGATGGATATGGTCGCGCTACCTGATTTCGCCGCCGGCGCCATGGAAAATTGGGGATTGTTAACATTTAGGTAAGGATGTCATGTGCGCACTGACGATTAATAATTACATTTTTATTTCATTATTGTATAAAATAAGAAAACATTAATCCCATTTTGCAATATCGTAAATATCATCGAATGAATTTCGAAACGCGTTGCGATGCATAGAAATTATTCTGTTTCATAATACAGTCATTCTTCTATATTCTACATACTTATATATAATTATTTGTATTATGTAAAATAGTGTGTTATTACTTTACTGACAAAAACGCGCTTAAGTATATACTCGAAAAGTATGTGGCTAATAAATATTTTCGTCATTTCTTCCGATAAATTGATATTTTTTTTATAAGAAGTATTACAATTTCGTTGGCCGTGGAAACATTTATTTAATTATATATATATATTATTTATTTAATATATTAATAATTTATTTAATATTTTTTTGATAATATCATGAAGGTGGAAGTTTCATCGGAAGTAGATTTATATATGATATTGGAGTAACCATTGAGTCATATACAATATATTCACTCATGATTAATCTACAAACGTTAAAACAATTTTAAAACCAATCTATTTTGTTGCTACGTGACTTGATTTGTGCTTGAAAAGAGATTAAATCTTTATCGTTAATATATACAAATAATTATATTTTAAGATAATTTACGAGATTATTAAAACTGTAGTCAGAAGCAGTTTATAAAATTCTTCTGGAAATAGTTAATTCTTCTATCATTATAATTTACAAAATTATTATAATTTCATAAATATACGCGAAATACGCTAATAATTGTATAAGATACGGAAATACTATGCTACATTTTGTCTATTTAGAGAGACAAAGATGTTGTATCAGGAAGGCATGTCGACCAGTGCTAGCAAGCAGCGTGTAGCTATCACTGTATCACATGAGATCAGTCATCAATGGTTTGGAGACTTAGTGACTCCAAGTTGGTGGACGGATATTTGGTTGAATGAGGGTTTCGCCACTTATATGGAATATATCGGCGTGAATGCAGTAAGCCGTTTATTGACCCAGGGTTACATATCGCACGCATTGTCAAAATTGTTGCATTGGCAATTCGGCAATTTGAGAAATATGGCTTAGAAAATGTTGAATGTTTTGAATATATTTTATATATTATATTGTAATGTAAATTTGTCATATTCTTGAAACATACAGCTGGAACCGACGTGGAGAATGCTGGATCAATTCGTCGTTGACGAACTTCAAGATGTATTTAGTTTAGACGCTTTGAAATCTTCCCACCCCATATCCATTGAAATCGGTCATCCGGATGAAATTAATGAAATCTTTGATAGGATTTCTTATGGAAAAGGTACTTGACAATTTAAAATTTAATAAGTAAATTACGACGATTCTAAAGAAATCTAATGTAACTGCATGAATACTAAAATTGCTCAGGTGCTACCATAATAAGAATGATGGCGCATTTTCTCACAATAAATGTTTTCGAGAAGGGTCTGACTAATTATTTGAATGAAAAGTAAGTGAAGTAATAAGTAAATAAGTAAAGATTATTTAGTAAACTTTTGCTCATTTATATATAAAACGATTTAAAATCAATAATTATTAACAATAATATTTTTGCGATATTATAAATATAAATAAGATTTTATAAATAAAGTTTTATATAATGCGACAATAATTGACGATATTTCTATCAAATAGAGCTTATCAAAATGCTGAGCAAAATGATTTGTGGTACGCTCTGACCAAACAAGCTCACAAAGATAAGGTACTTCATCCAAACGTAACTGTTAAAGAAATAATGGATACTTGGACATTGCAAACCGGCTTTCCTGTAGTTACTGTCTCACGAACCTACAACGACAGTATTATTATGCTGACACAGGTATTTTAATAATTATAAATTAAATAATAATTCAATAAAGTGCGATTTATTAAATGACCATTTAACAAGTAAAAGCCAATGTGGCTGACTTGTACAGTCATTCTCTACACTTGATCATCTTTCTATTAAATAATGAATTCAAGATGCTAATAACGAGTAATTCAAGAGATGTCAAAAATAATAAACAGTTTAATCTCTCATGAATACATAATAACGTAGGGACATTTCGAACTCCATAGATCAACCAATTTAAGAGAAATAATAAATTAAACGAATAAAAGTCAGTAACATAATACGGTGAATAATAGAATTAAAGGTGCGAGGCTAAGTCTTTGAGATAATCTTTCTATTATATTTAAATACTTGAGATAATCTTTCTATTACATGTAAAATACTTTGTTTCGTCACAAAAGAAGATTATGAAATATATAATGTTACATTATAATGCTGTTACGGGCAACTATTTAATTAACGAATTATTTAGATTTTAAGAGATTTATAATAGCATTGTACGCGCCGTCTATTTTTCGCAGGAACGTTTTCTGCTTGACAATAACGACACAACGATCACATCTGAATCATTATGGTGGATACCTATTACTTATACATGGGAAAAGCAATTAAACTTTAATAACACTCAACCTACGGAATGGCTAAAAGCGGAACGCTCGATTATCCTTAACGATTTCCGTGTAAGCCCATTTGAATGGATAATATTCAATGTGCAAGAAACTGGTAACTATATCCTGATACAATATCCATGATACAAGAATTATATTTGTAGTAAAAATTTTAAAAATTATTTTTATAATGCAAAATTTATTAATATTTATCTTTAGTTTTTTCAAAGAATATTAATTGTAAAATAATTTTGAACAATTTTGTTAATACCCTTAATACCATTAAGGGGATATTAATCTAAAACTTTTTTTTAATTTATTTGAAATGTATCAAGAATAATATCAAGAACATAAATTTTTCGAGTAATTAAAGAAAAACATTGTAAATCGAAATATATAAAGGAAATTGTTCAAATTTATAGAAGGAAAGATACTAAAAAGTTTTAGAAGATGATAAGATGATTATTGGTTCCATATTATAAAAATATAAATGCGACGTTAGATAATATATGTATATTATGCTTATATAACAGCGTACTATAGAGTGAATTATGACAGAACAAACTGGCAAATGATAATTAGACAATTGAAACAAAATTTAACACGTATTTCGGCGAATAACCGAGCGCAATTGATCGACGACGCTCTTAACTTGGCTAGAGCTGGCAAGCTCGACTACAATATCGCTTTCGATGTTATATCTTATTTGGTCCGCGAAATCGAGTATTTTCCTTGGAGGGCAGCTTTCAGAGGCATAGATTTCTTAAAAGATATGTTAATCAAAACACCAAGTCATGACAAATTCAGTGTATGTATTCATCAAACTAGAGTATTAGTTAACAGTTATATTATAGATATTTATGAAAAATATCAATAATTATTTAATTAGATGTTCCATAGTGTTAGCATAAAACATAAATAATACTTATTATTTTCACTTTCAATATTTTTTTAGTTGTTTGTATTAAAACTACTCGATAATGTATACAAGCAAGTCGGTTTCACTGACGAAATAACAGATTCTCAGCTGACAATTTTGACACGAATTGATGTTCTAACTTGGGCATGTAACTTCGACCATGAGGATTGTGTTACGAACGCCGTGCAACAATTCAGGTATTGGCGTAACAATCCTGATCCGGATGTTAATAATCCGTAAGTAGAAATGTCATATATCATATTATGTATTATTTAAAACTGGATTATTTATTGACACATTATTGCATTTTTCGATGCACAAGATCGCAACGATGAAGTTGTTCCATTCGCTCTGTTGGCGAATTAAACATATTAATTGTAACACTATAAATTATTCGTTAGCTTTAGAATATGTGATAAAGCTATTTACACATATTTTTGTAGCCATTACAAATTTTGTATTTAGAATTTCGCCGAACTTGAGGAGCGTGGTTTATTGCACGGCTGTTCGAGTGGGTGGACAAAGCGAATGGGAATTTATTTGGCAGCGATACCGAGGAACCAACGTAGGATCGGAAAAGAATCTACTCTTGAACGCATTAGCCTGCACAAGGGAGATATGGCTGTTAAATCAACTTTTAGATTGGGCCTTTACGGAAAATTCGGGAATCAGGAAGCAAGATGCCACCATGGTTTTCCGATTTATAGCTAACAATGTTGTCGGGCAGTCACTCACGTTTAATTACTTTAGAGATAAATGGGAACATCTCAAGAAATAGTAAGCGTCAATCCTTTATTTTTATATTCATATGTTTGTATATTTTACATTCATATGTTTCTATTTCAGAAAGCTTTTAGAAATAGAGAACATCATTAGTTTCGTTAGAAATTAATCTCGCTAGGAAATATCACAAATTTCTATTATAATTGTCATTGCCATGAATCTTTGTCTTATTAGATCGAATTAAATTTTACTATGAAAGTTTGATATAACATAAATCTTTTATTATATCTAGTCTTGGGACGTCATCTTTCAATGAAGTCGCAAAGGCAGCAACAAAAGGAATAAGTACAAGATACGAATTGAAAGACGTAAGTTGAAAGATAATAGTATGAATATATTTTTCAAGTGAGTTAAAACAAATTTAAATAGAAAACATAACATAAATGTTAAGCTCTTTAATCAATTCGATAAACAGATGGAAGCACGTACGTAATTAATTTCCACAAGGTTCTCATTACTCTTTCAAAAAATTAATGTATCTATTTTTTATATGTTATTATCTTTTAGCTGGTAGAGTTTGTAAAAGAACATCTGGATGAATTTGGCTCAACGCGAACTATACAACAAGCGATAGAACGAGTGGAATCCGACATACGTTGGTTTGACAAGTATTATGGGAAGATTTACAATTGGTTACGGAAGAATACCATATAATGGTCGATACCGATTGAGATAATTATTTGGTTCTTCTTTAGTGTCGAATCGTGGGCCGATGATAAAATTAATAATCCCTCCTTAATTTTCGGGTCACATTCCTGCGGATATCAATCTAAGTTTGAATAATTTTACTGTACATCCATTGGATAGCAAAGGATCAGGAGAGAGAATTTGTATTTGAAATAATAATATCTTTTTTTTTTTAAGAAAAGAGCACCAAATATCCGCGACCGTCAAAATAGCTATTGTGAAACAATGTTGTTTTATTTTTGTTATAAAAGTAGATATCAAAAGTGATATCAAATATTGCGCCAACAAAGCATAAGTTTATACACATTAAAAAATTTATTTCATTTATCACACAACATTTAATTCTTTTATTATCATATTATAATATTATAATATTATATTATAATATCACAAATTTATATTATATTATACTATTATATCATGTTATTTTATGTTATAATATTAAATTGTACGAAATGTTATTTATAATTAATGATATAGAATTAGACGTCATTAGAGAATTGTATAGTTTGACGCGAAATAATTGGATAATATGGATAATAATGAAACAAAAATTTAAAAATAAGAAATATAAATACAAATGTAAAGCAGAAAAACACATGCAAAGAAAATAGGGCCACCGATTAAAATCTGTGGGGATAATAGTCTCTATTGAGGCTAATCCATTTTTGCTGGATTAAGTCTTATTTCAAATTAATTAATCTTAAAGTAAAAGTATACATATAATTTATTTATAATAATTCTCCAAGTTTTGCCGAGATATTTTTAATAACAAAAAAATTATATCCGGTAAATGTAGAACAGATTGCAGAAAAAATCGTGCTCATATATAATTTTATAACTTCATTTATATGTACATGCATACAATAAGACAATATTTGTTAAATAAATATCAAAATTTGTACATCCTTAACGATTTTTTCTCATTTTTAATTTTTTTCTAGGCTTAAATTATTCCAATTTTAATTATTATTTTTTATAATTCTTTGTTACGCAATTATACTTTGTGGACATAGCAATTTAGGAATAGAATCAAACAATCATTTACATACCATGGAGCAGAATCTTGAATATAATATGTTACCAGCTGGAAATATCCATGGCTACGTAGTTTAACGTGTACGTTTTATGCACATGGAGGCGCCAGTGAACGGATTTCTTCTAAAACGTGAGCACGTCCATTCTCAGGCTTCTCTCTGGTTAAATAAATAATACTCAATAAAAATTTACTGTACGCTAGCTAACGCATTCTTAGGAAATATTGCGTCCAATGCAAGAGCCATATCAAAAGTACCACAGATGATAACAGCAGAAAGACATATACCTTTTTATAAAAAAAATATATATAAGAATGAAAAAATGTAATGCCTAATGTGCTCACTTATTTTGCTATAAACTTTTTTTCAATTCTGTCAAAATTCATCAATAAGTTGTTAAAAATTAATATATATATATATTGCACTTGCATATTTTTACATCAAAATATTAAACCTTTAATATTGCTTAATAAATTTGTAAAATTATTTGCGGAATAGAAACTAAGTAATTTTTAAATTTATCCTGATAATAATATAACTGTGACACACGCGACGTGAATATTTATGGTAAAATAAAAAAACTAAAATCAATCACGATAACGCAAACAAGTTTAATTTTGATTGCTTCAGTTATTTAAATTTATCTATATAATTATATTGTGAGCAATAATTTACATACAATTTTGAAGCCCCTTTTTTATATTTGAGATACAATTTTGGTATGCAGCCTCTATAATTTTCTACAAAACAATACATTGTGAAATAGATTAAATCGTAGTGTGCGTCGTCGTAAAATCATTAGCTTGAGAAAAGGCTAGATTACGTGGTAACTTGAGAAAGAGGATTGTTAGCGTGACATCTTCGCTAATTAGAACTTTAAACTTTATGAAATCGCAGGTGGTACGACACCGACATTTAATTATGCGAATCGAGGTTGTCGCGGATCTACACGTTTCTCACCGAATCTCCAACATCCGTATAGGAATTTCACAATATTGTTACAGCGAAAGAATGTAACTTGAGATGTAACAATGACTTCCTACATATTACATTTGCATACAGGCTTACCTGCATTATCATCATTTTAACGGAAAATGAATAGATTATCGTTTACAGCTCTTTAAATTCTAGCATTATACATCTTAATAATTACTCTTTAAATTAAGTTTTTCTCTTTAAAAAATGTTTATGTAGACTCGCAATCAGAGGAGAAACAAAAATTTTAATTTTGAGTTAATTTTGAAATTTCAGTATTCAATAATTACGTAAACTAGCTAAATTTGTGGAAATATGTGATTTCAGAAATGGGTAATAAACATTTGTTGCAACATTCTGAAGAAATATAAATCTGCTGAAATTAAACAATATAATTGTATAGAGGATTATACACGCATGTATTTATATGTGTTATGTATACATTTAGATTCAAACATATATAGATACATCTGGAAGATAATAATCCAAGGAACACAAATTATTCAGTCTTGTTCATATATTTGCGGTTTAACGGACGATCCGATGTGAAAGGTACGAAGTCATATTGATTACTGCATGAAGGACAAGTAAAAGCAAGAGAAAGAGCAAATAAGATATGAGTTAAATATATACAAGATGTTTTGAAAGGACTTTAATTCTAACAATAAATTTTTCAAAAATTAAGTTAATACATAGTTTTGCATGCGAAGAAATAGATGAATACATAATAAATAACAAAATATAAAGTATTAAAAAACAATCGAAATAAATAGATATAAGAGATAATAATCCCATATATAGATTTACATAATATATAAAAGAATAATTATTACTTTAAATATATACTTTATATTATTAATTTACATGCACGTAATGGAAAAGAGCTGTTCTTGAATACACGCCAAATACGAGATAGATATGAACAAAAAGATTATGCTTGCTCGTAAAACGCCATAGAAATGGAACGTCAGTGCAGATATTTCTACATCCGACATCGCCGTGTGAAACTGCAAGCAAAGGGACCGGTGCATCGAGAACCTGGGAGTGCCTTTTTAATGTCACGGAAGGAGTTACCTTTAAGTATCGTCGATGTCGAATCACATGAATCGTTAGATTGGGAGAGAGCCCGATAATAAGAGAGTCGGAGACAAAGACACGGCATTCCGCGATACGAATTTTTGTACCGAGGACCCGACGTGAGATGGACCTGATGATCTTCGGGGAGCGGAGAGAGAGAGAGAGAGAGAGAGAGAGAGAGAGAGAGAGAGAGAGAGAATGCTGCTTCAACATTGGCAACTACTATCCCGCTCTCGCTCGCAAACGATTAAATTATGATCCGTGTAATCGTAATTACACGTTCCAGACTAACATAATTCATAAACGTTAACGTTTAAGCGCTATAGCAGCAATCATATCTGTACATTTTTATAGAAAATTTCATCGCATTTCTGATTAAACAGAAATCGATTCTGTATGAAAAAGACGGCGTTTTTTATATGTAAATATTAAAAAGTTTGTCCTATGAGAGAATAAATTATAAAAATAAATTATGCAAATAAAGCAAATTATGAAGCAAATATTTAGCAAGTTATAATACTGTTTAGGAAACAACAAAAAGAGGATAAAAAGGATAATATAATAAAAGAAATGAAAAATAAATAAAAAAGAAGTTATAAAAATGCAAGAAATAAAGAAATAAAGGATCAAATAAAAAGAAGAAAAAAGTATTATAAAAGAAACGAGGAAATAAAGAATGGGAGCTACGAAGAAATCGAGAGATCGATTATCGTCTATTGCGTCATCGAATCACCGCGGCTGCATCTGTTATAAGTTATACATCATGTTCAATGAAATGTGCACCTGTAGTCGCACATTATTATATCAAGATTATCACGAATCCCCCGGCGAGGAGCGAAGCGCATAACGATCGAGATATATCGAGGGTTACGAAGTCCTTCGACTTCTTTCACGAGAAGACGGTTCACCTGAACGTTAATTGCGGCCGCGCTGTGTTGCGGTTGAAAGGGTTGCCCCGCGCGCCTGCTTCTGCGCCATTATCGGGGATTGTATCGGCATCGTCGGCTCACCGTGGGCGAGAGGGGGATTAAGTCCGTGCTTGTTTTAACCTTCCTCCTCGGTGACCTTACCCAGCCGCTCATCATTCCACAGCGCGCCGCGCATCGCCCGGACGATTTGCATAAGATCGGAGTAGGTATACCGAGCGCGAGCGCGAGGTCGAGTTGCCGCGCGCGTATATAGAGATACACGTATATGGTGCTTCGACGTGAAGTCTCGCATCGCGGGCACGACCTGGCTAATGCATGCTATTCTTTACTCACCGATACGACAGGGCACACCGTGAATTTTCTCTTTTATCCGCGTCTTACAAAGATCAAATTAGCCTAAGATCCTCCTTTTGCACATTTGCGCGCTTAAAGATGGCTGCTGGTGTTGGGGTAATCCTCCGGATAAAAGATCTGAGATAAACGAGGATAAGTAATGAGTGTTAGAAAAGAGAGTCGGGACCGAGCGCGAGTACTGTTGCGCGTTTCATTTAGAAATCTTCGTTGTTGGAAGGAAATAAATTATTCTACTTGTATATATAGAGAAGACGTGATCATAATTTCTATTCTTTAATTTCCATTTCATATCTGAAATATTTATAATTATTTTGACAATATTTTGTCCAAGTTTAATTCTACAAGCTATATGTCTAATTTTAACCGAACACGTAACACGGTGATTTTGTAATACTCTAAAGAAATGTAATAATAGCAACGTCATGTTAATGTCGAAAAGTTTCAAGTACAACTACATAATGAAGCTTGTCAGTATCATAAATAATATTTTGTATCTGACAGGAACTCTTCGCGACCCGCAATCACCATATTTGACGCATATCGATATCATGCTTAGATATCGACGATAAATAAATCTTCACGAGCGCGTTACCTGGATTTATCGACAAGTGTTTTAAGTTTTAAGCCTACAGAAGTCCGATTTCATCTCACAAATCTATCTCGTAAACATTTTCTATCGCTAATAAGTATAAATAGTAATTTTGTAAATATAAAAATTTTGAAAAATATTTCACAAAATATTTTGATCATATCATATTTTTATTGTTATCAAAATTACCTCTTTTTAATAATGCTCGAAGATACTTTTCTCGAATCTGTCAGACTCATTTTAACATTTTTAACTATAAACCATAAAGTTTCCAAATGTTATTCACGATTCGAAACGCTAAACTAACCACTAATAATATTAAATGTGTGTTGCTGTGTCGCGTTTTCGGCTCGTTAGGAAGTTCTAAGGCCCAT